TCATTATGTATGATTTCAATTTTTTTTTATTGGAGTTAAAATTAACGTAGATATATGACCGAACCTAACCAACCCTACCTAACCTAACCTAACCTATCTTAATAGGTTAGGTTAGGTTAGGTAGCTGAAAAAGTTAGGTTAGGTTAGGTTAGGTAGGTTAGGTAGTCGAAAAACATATAATTCATGAAAACTTGGCTTTTTAGGCAAATCGGGCCTTTCATAGAAGGCAGAGAAGTGCGTTCTGGCTACTAGGTACGACATATATATATATATATATATATATATATATATATATATATATATATATATATATATATATATATATATATATATATATATTTAAAGTATTCAGTGAGAATCCACAAGGTCTTCTCTGAACACTATTTATTTTCTTCTTCGAGGATGTGGGTCCCTTTAATTAAACCAGTGGTGGTACCCCTATATATATATATATATATATATATATATATATATATATATATATATATATATATATATAAAATCTCAGTGTATATATTGATTGTTCTCTATATTGTGCATATATATGTGTGAATAAAGATCTTTATATATATATATATATATATATATATATATATATATATATATATATATATATATATATATATATATATATATAAATATATATATATATATATATATATATATATATATATATATATATATATATATATATATATATATATATATATATATATATATATATATTTACTCTGTATAAAAAACGTCTGTGTAAACCTTTCATATATATAAAATACAAGCGAGAACTATAGGCAGCCAGCGTATATGCACATCTATGTCTATTCTTTTGATGTAAAAGAAATAAAAGCGAAAGATTTATACGTAAAAAATGCCTGAATTTACAACAAAAACAACAAGAACAACAAAAACAACAACAACAACAATAATAATAAAAAAATTAAAAATAATAATAATAAAACCAATTGAACCTATAGGGTGTCTCAATCAATTGATACCTACAGAGCGATCAAGGTACTCCTTACCCCTGTACCACCACGACTTAAGTTACGCCACCTTGGGGGGATTCCACTGAACGTGCAGGGAGTCTGACGGCTTCTCGTGAAGCCAGTTTAAGTTTGTCATAACCTGGAAGCCCTCGAGTGTAAGGTCAAGTTGTCTAACTACCTCACACTCCAGGCTGGTATTAACTCTGGGCGTCAACGGAGCCTTTAGGTCTATTCACACAGGTAGAACCATAGTGCCGCAAGTAATCCTCCAATCATCCACAGTGGCGCATGGAGGGAGGGAACTATCAGGAGGGAAAACGCCAAGTCATTACGACTATTAATCACTTGGGACAGGATCAGAATAAGTTAGGATGGGACTGAGGGTAAAAGAATGGTTGCCAACCACTTGTGGACGGTCTTGGGGATTGAACCCCGACCTGCAGGAAGGGATAGCCTCATCCCAAACTTCCGTTCTCTACATTTCCGCATCCAAAACTAATTTTCCTGTCCTCCCTTCTGTAGTTCCGCAAGTGGAAGTGAGTGGCGCGGCGGACAAGTACGTGAGGAGTGGATCCACCGCTCGGCTCGAGTGCAAAGTGAGCTCAACAGTTCAGCTTCCCGATTACATCTTCTGGTACCACTCTGGGGAGCGGCTGCTGGAGTACGACAACCCCAGAGTGAAGTTTACGGTTTCTAGGCGGGGCGGCCAGGGCAGTGAGATGAGTGTCACTTCGACTCTGGTGATTTCCAACGCCAAGTCCGCAGACGCCGGCAACTATACCTGCCTTCCCTCTAATCTTCACCCTGCCACGACGCTCCTCCATGTCCTTAATGGTACGTGGCATGATTATTATAGTTGTGGTTTTATATTCAGTTACTTGTAACAAGTTCCAATATCTTGACCAAACCACACACTAGAAAGTGAAGGGACGACGACGTTTCGGTCCGTCCTGGACCATTCTCAAGTCGATTGAGTCCAGGACGGTTCGAAACGACGTCGTCCCTTCACTTTCTAGTGTGTGGTTTGGTCAACATATTTCAGCCACGTTATTGTGACTCCTCGTCTGCAACAAGTTCTAAGTAGCACTAGCTATGGTGAGCCCGGAGTGAACATAAGAATGAAGGTAACTGCAGAAGGCCTATTGGCTCATACGAGGTAGCTCCTATTTCATATCCACTTAATCTCATTCATATATATGTCTAACCTACGCTTGAAATAATCAATGGATACTACTTCTATTGGAATTACTTGACACAGGAACGGGGCTGTGTGCACTGGTGGCATGATATTTGTCAATTTCTTGAACAAATCCACAAGGGCCATTTCTTCCCTTGTCCATTTCTTCTTTAGTTCATTCAACCTTACTTCTCCAGTTTCATCTTCCAGGAGCAAGAACTGTCTCTATAGACAACTCAAAGCTACTGACAGTCTCTGATCACATCAAAATGTGATAACAAATCTAGTTTTTTCTTTGTTTTCGACAAATTTTGTGTGTGAATATACATATACATTCACAACATATACATCAGAATTATACATATGTATTCCGTTCTTTGCATTGTTTTGCTTGAGTGGAAATTATGCTTATTTTAATGAAAATAATAATAATAATAATAATAATAATAATATTATTATTATTATTATTATTATTATTATTATTTTTGTTATCAATCCCACACAGAAATCACACTAACGTGATATATATAGCGAATCTATGAATGCACTTGGCAATGCTAAGGTGGAAAGTTCGTTCCTCCTCACAGTCCAAGTATTTTCTCATTATTATTATTATTGTTATTTATTCATTTATATTTCAGCAGATGAGCACCCGGCAGCAATGCATACGGGCAGAGCGATGACAACAGAGCCTCCCCCTGCCTGGGGAGTACTCTTGGCAGTAGTACTCTGTATAGTGATGGTCCACGCCAACCCCCTAACAGACCAGGCATGTGTTGGCACGCCTTTCTTCATTCCTAGCGATGTAGGCGACGACGAGGTACATCGCCCCATTAGAAGGACTAGACGCAGGAGGGACTCGGCGTCTGGACTCCTAGCAAGGGTCTGTCAGATCTCTCTACCTCACCGCTATCCTTGTGAGAGCCGGGTCCGACCGCCCTCCTACAGGAGACAACCGGGTTCGGTCACCTGGCGGTGGAGAGCAACAGGTTCTGGAGGCATTGTTAGGCAGGATCATCCTGCCTTCCTCACTCTGTCTGCTTCAAAGCTCCACACTGCATTTAGATTAAGCGATATAATTGGTTCACACTAACACGCACACACACACAAACACACACACACACACACACACACACACACACACACACACACACACACACACACACACACACACACACACACACACACACACACACACACACACACACTTTTTCAGTGTCAGAGTAGTTAACAGATGGATTGCATTAGGCAGTGATGTGGTGGAGGCTGACTCCATACACAGTTTTAAATGTAGATATGATAGAGCCCAGTAGGCTCAGGAACCTGTACACCAGTTGATTGACAGTTGAGAGGCGGACCAAAGAGCCAAAGCTCAACCCCCGCATGCACAAATAGGTGAGTACAAATAGGTGAGTACACACACACATTGTGTATTAACCCTGAGTTTTATAATTTTTTGTAACATTATGCTTAGAGTCTCAAGCTGGAAACTTCCATTGAATAAATGCATAACCTTACATGTGAATTACAAACCTTTTTTGTATTGCAATCTTCTGTATATGCAGCCTCAAAAATGCAATGTTCTTCACGCAAAGCTTCAGGTTAATGTAAATCTGAGTTGTTATATTCATTTCATCACATATATGCCTTTTGGAAACTTACTCTTGAATTTGGATTAAAAAGCCTTTAATTCTACTATTTTTTAAAACTTTTAATTTCCATTTTAAATAGCAGCGTTGAGGATAATGTGGTCAGTGTTAAATGCTCTAAAATTGTGTTGGATAAGATTATATTATACAGCATAAATTGCAGACGAAATATAACTTTTTCCTGAGTTTTATAGGTGTTGAATATCGCAAATAATAGACCCGGGAAGAATTCTTATTGCGGAAAAAATGTCAAATATTCAGTCAGAACCATTTTTAATTTTTCAGAAGACATACCGTAAGTAATTTCCGATCTGGAAGTTCCAATTCGTTGAATATTTTAGAAATAAAATACAATTCTCATCGCCTATGGGGCACACACCTCAGCAGGCAATTATCTGAAGCCAATTTTTTGCAGTATATTTGAAGTCATATCACTGCGTCAAGACATAACGTCAATATCACCGCTCTCACAGACGTCAACACGTCAATCGCCACGTGACGCTGAAATTTTCTGAGCCAAAATCCACAGTGTTTTAGAGACGTATATATTGTTTCATAAATAATAAACTCATTTACTTCTTGTGATTTCTGATGGCAAATCACATTGAGTGTCATGCATAACGATCAGTATCCTAAGAGGTGATTTCCATTTCTGTGTTATTAATTTAAGTTCTGAATCAAGCTTATGAAATGTTTTCCAAATAGCTGCTGTTCTACATTTTTTCCACAATTATTATTTTTGTTTACGATAATCTTTATTTGTAATACACCAAAGCTAAGGTTTGGTCTGAAATTTCAAACTTAAAATACATATCTAATATTGTAATTTTACTCCGAATAATTAATACTTATCGTATTTTGCCTTTAGTTTATCCCATCCTGTCTACTGCCTCAAGATATTTTTGTTTAATTCAATGTTGTGAACAATCAATTAATGTGTTACTACCAATGATCTGTTTAATTACACGAGTCCCACTAGGGGCTTTCTATTTTCGTTCGTATTTACAACTCGTCTAGTGTAGTTTACATTGGCTGATAAACTGTTCTCTGAGTTTACCACTGTTTGAGTATACATAACACTATTATGGTTATTATTTACATTCATGATAAACCTCAGAATGTATTATGCTCGAACAAACTCATTCAGTAAGGTGTTTCCTGAATGTTGTTTAACAAACTTTTGTATCAGTGTGTCAGATCACCAAGGTTGTCTCTGTAAGACAAAGGAACAGAAGTCACTGTAATGTTTGGATACATAAATGTGAGAATAAGTGGAAGTACTATTTGTGAGTTTTATTTATTTCCTATACAGGAACAAAATGTATTTTAACAAATATTGTATGGTACGACCTGCATGGTTAGGTGATTATGCTCTCCAGATTCACGTCTTACGGTATATTCATAATTGCTTGATGCTTTATATATACCTTATATATAGATATACGCTGCGAGGTGCACCATATACACACTGCACCTATTATATCATCCCAGGAATATATCTAGCCAGAAAAGTATATATATAGTAAGATCTGAACCACATCTGTGAGTGAATATACCTTCAGAGCGCTGCCTCACATGCCACTGTATATAAACTGAGAGCTGATCGACATATATAAATAAGTTCCAGGCCCGCTCCTGTGTCAGGTAAGTCCACTACGGGCTCACCATAGCCCGTGCAACCTGGAACTTTTTGTTCCCAGTAGCTAAACCTATAACAACAGCCATATATAAGTGAACATGTGTAGGTATCCACTGGGAAAATGAAACGACAGAACGACATAACCAAGTCATGTTTCTGTTTATGATTATTGATGCATAAATGAATATTCGCTGATAGATCACCCCACATATTGGTAAATCTACAGAGAGAGAGAGAGAGGTACCCTCCCCCTCAGGTCCATATATACACTGATTGCTATACCGATATGTCAGTGTATATATACGCTCAGAGACGAACCCTGCAAATCAGTGAATATATATACCATCATCTATGCTACAGCCGATCCTTAAGACACATTCATTAATATTAAAGCGTTCTACATTCAAAATCAGTATATTTTTTCATATTTCTATTAACAGAAATATATATTAGAGTTTGGTGTATAGTAAGACCTAATTTAGGCTTGCCGTTTTTTTCAGTTTCTTGTCAGTTATTCTTGCTGTCATGAAGTCAGAATCGTTTAACCTGCAGCGTCCCTAAGGTTGTGCAAATTGTATAAATAAGTGTAATACACTCTATAGTAAATCACTTCTTTTCTTCACCTTAAAAGTACGAAAATGAGTTTTGGAGAACTCCTATTTCAACTAAGCCCTGATGCTAAGAAAATAGTTAGAGGGATAGAAACCCTAAACCAGAAAATAATAAATACAGAATATGCGGTCATATTCAATGAAACACACACACACATATATACATATATATATATATATATATATATATATATTATTAAATATGACCGAAAAAGTAAGATTAATAATTCTAACAAGAATTTTCTCAATCTTTCGTACATTTCTTTTCACTGTTGGTGGTAATTCAAAAATCAATTCTCCAAAATTCATTTTTATTTCTAGTCTGACGCGACACTTGAGCGCGTTTCGTAAAACTTATTACATTTTCAAAGACTTTAGTTACACATACACAACTGAATAGAACTTACACATCTCCGATTTGTTTATATCTGCATTTGAGTGAGGTGGATGGGGTGAGGTGGTATTTAATAGAGTATTAAATTCATCAACACAAGACAGAACACGAAACAATGGGTATTGAATAGAAGTGATTGTAGAAAGCCTATTGGTCCATATTTCTTGATGCTTCTATATTGGAGCGGAGTCTTGAGGTGGGTAGAATATAGTTGTGCATTAATTGGCTGTTGATTGCTGGTGTTGACTTTTTGATGTGTAGTGCCTCGCAAACGTCAAGCCGTCTGCTATCGCTGTATCTATCAATGATTTCTGTGTTGTTTACTAAGATTTCTCTGGCGATGGTTTGGTTGTGGGAAGAGATTATATGTTCCTTAATGGAGCCCTGTTGCTTATGCATCGTTAAACGCCTAGAAAGAGATGTTGTTGTCTTGCCTATATACTGGGTTTTTTGGAGCTTACAATCCCCAAGAGGGTATTTGAAGGCATAGACGACGTTGGTCTCTTTTAAAGCGTTCAGCTTTGTGTCTGGAGAGTTTCTCATGAGTAGGCTGGTCGTTTTTTTGGTTTTATAGTAAATCGTCAGTTGTATCCTCTGATTTTTGACTGTAGGGATAACGTTTCTATTAACAATATCTTTCAGGATGCTTTCCTCCGTTTTATGCGCTGTGGAAAAGAAGTTCCTGTAAAATAGTCTAATAGGGGGTATAGGTGTTGTGTTAGTTGTCTCTTCAGAGATTGCATGGCGTTTCACTTTCCTTCTTATGATGTCTTCGACGAAACCATTGGAGAAGCCGTTGTTGACTAGGACCTGCCTTACACTACAGAGTTCTTCGTCGACTTGCTTCCATTCTGAGCTGTGGCTGAGAGCACGGTCGACATATGCGTTAACAACACTCCTCTTGTACCTGTCTGGGCAGTCGCTGTTGGCATTTAGGCACATTCCTATGTTCGTTTCCTTAGTGTAGACTGCAGTGTGGAAACCTCCGCTCTTTTCCATGACTATTACATCTAGAAAGGGCAGCTTCCCATCCTTTTCCATCTCGTAAGTGAAACGCAGCACGGAACTCTGCTCAAACGCCTCCTTCAGCTTCTGCAGATGTCTGACATCAGGTACCTGTGTAAAAATGTCGACAACATACCTGCAGTATATGGCCGACTTCAAGTTCATGTCGACTAAGACTTTTTGCTCGATGGTACCCATGTAGAAGTTTGCAAACAGGACACCTAGGGGAGAACCCATGGCGACCCCATCTACTTGCTTATACATGTGCCCATCCGGGCTCAAGAAGGTTGCCTCTTTAGTACAAGCTTGGAGTAGTTTCCTTCGAATATTCTCTGGTATGTCAAGAGGAGTACAGGCTGGATCACGATACACTCTGTCGGCTATCATCCCGATTGTCTCGTCCACAGGTACGTTGGTGAACAGTGATTCTACGTCCAACGAGGCTCTTATCCCTGTGGCCCGTGTGCCCCGCAGTAAGTCAACAAATTCTTTTGGAGACTTCAGGCTGAAGGCGCAAGGGACGTAAGGAGTCAGCAGGCCGTTGAGACGCTTCGCCAGTCTGTACGTGGGTGTGGGTATCTGGCTAATGATTGGCCGAAGTGGGTTTCCAGGCTTGTGTGTCTTGACATTTCCATACGTATATCCAGGATTATATTCCCCAATAATCTTTGGCAGGTGGAGTCCGGATTTCTTGGCGTTCTAAGTTTCAATCAGTTTGTTGACCTTTGCTTTTAATTCGGCTGTAGTGTCCTTCGTTACCCTTTGGAACTTAGTTTGGTCAGAGAGTATGATGTTCATTTTCGCCAGATATTCGTCTTTTTTAAGAATGACAGATATTGGCGACTTGTCACCTCTCCTGACAACTATCTCCTTTTTCTCACGAAGGCTTTTAGCTG